TCCACTTGAATAGTGGATGCTGACACAGTGAGACAGAGGTCCTTGTGGGAAGTAAGGTCAGCTACACTGACTGGTTTGTACTGGATGTCACTGGCAGACACTGTCTTATACTGGTGCATATCAAATGGACAGGAAATGGTGTCTGTCTGGGGATAGTTGCTCTGGCTCTGTCCCTGCTGGCCTCCGCCTGCTCCTCCACTCCCGTGTCCCCCAGGTCGGCTTGATCCTCCATCTGCACTCTCTACCTGGCTCTGAGCTCCAGCCTGGCCCTGGCTTTGGTTCTGGTTCTGTTGTGCCGACTGTGCTGCCACAAGTGCTGGTGCAGTCAACTGGTCTGGGTTGTGTTTCTCCATGTGTTTCACCAGATACGTCTCCTGAGATAAGGGGAGGATAGGTAGAGGGGAAACAGTGGACACATGACTACAAGGTGTAAAGTAGCAGCCAGCTGTCTGATGCCAGAGAGGCAATTCATAGTGTTTCATGTAGAAATGCTCTTCAGAAATGGACATTTGTCTTACTGAGGTATATGTACGGTTGCAGAGACCACACGAGTAGATCCTCGCATGTTTGACTGTGTGTGTAGACATGTGCACCTCCAGGCTCGCTGCATCTACGTATCCTTTATTGCAGTTGGTGCACTTGAAGGGCTTGTCCTTGTTGTGTTGCCGCCGGTGGGACTGGGAAAGAATGGTTATTGAAAAAAAAAAAGTTAATGTTTTACAGTATAGCTAACTGTCCTGTAAGACAGGTAATAAACCAACACATAACATTATACTCACTGTATAAGAAGAAAACAAAATTCTTTCACACCTGTAAATTTGAGAGTTGTGTGAAGGATTTCTCACAGCCTGGATGAGTACACTTGTATGGCCGATCTCCAGTGTGAATCCTGAATAAAAAACACAAACAAACACAAGCATGTGCATACGCGGACTCCTGTTATGTTCATGGTGATCTAACCTGACCGCAGAAAGACACTGAGGCACATGAGAAACCCAAGACCAGTGACTCACTTACCTGTTGTGCTGCTGAAGGTGACTGAGCTGTCTGAAGCACTTTTGGCAGAAGGTGCAGGTGTAGGGTTTCACTCCAGTGTGGATGCGGACATGTTGGGCCAGGTAGCTAGAGTTGGCAAATGACTTGGTACAATGGGGACACTTGTGAGGCTTTGACTCTGTGTGGTTCCTGATGAGGGCAGACAGGAGGGTGAAAGAGAAAGGGAAAGAGGATTGGTGTAAGGTAGACTGAGAAAAAACATGTGATACTCTGTTTGACACATTTCAAAGTGATTGCCTCAGTTTATCAAAACCTGTCAAGAGGGCCATTCCAGACAAGTAAAGAGAAGATTGAAGCACTAAAGTCTTTTAAGTGTTACCAACAAAAATCTGCATCATTTAACACTTTTTATACACAGTGGTAATTTATATTCCTTTCGATTTCACGTGTTAAATATATATGTCCAACAATGTCACACAATCATAGAATAACAAAGCAAAATATTTAATTATTGACTCTGTCCTTTTTACACATATCCTTCTGCCTTAGATGATTTGGATGTATGAACAGAAGAGCAAAATATTAGATGTGCTGACTGTCATTTTAAGGTTTGACAAATGCATCCATTTAGATCAACATGCCTCCAGAAATGACTGAAAATTGATTTGATGACAGCCAAAAAGAAGAGCAACAGGATGACTACAACATGAGTGCAGAGAGCAGGAAAGCAGAACATGGAAGCAAAGTATTTCTATCACACATTGCCATTCAATGGAGAAAGTAAGAAAAAAGCATTGATAAGGAAGTATACCAAACAATAACACAATAGATTAAATGGGGAAGCACAATGGAACTATGTTTGCCTTTAAATCTTCATTTCAACATGGATTTCTAGATGTGTATATGTGCATTTCTGTTGAAGAAGCACTGGCAGAAGAAATGACAGAGCGTACAGACAGGAAAATGCGATGAAAATGCAATGCGAGCATTAAGGAGAGAAGCAAGTGCACACACACAAATGAAAAAGGAAAGAAAAGGTAAAATATTCTCATTGTATCAATCAATATAAAAGAGCTCCATGCATTTCCAATGGCCATTCTGATTATTGTAATTATGGAAAATCTTCTTATGGACAGAGCCCAACTTAAAAAGGTCTAATTTGAATTCAGATTTTTTGAAAAGGTCACATCTGGATGGATCTGGTAGCATGCGAGTCAACATCTACATGGCAGTGAAATATGCATCTGCACACCTCTCTAATCTCTTCCCCAGGAAGAAGAAGACAGAGAGTCTGGGCTTCTAAAAAGGCACTTGGCAGGACAAGTTAACAGGACAGGGGGATATGGTACGGGGGTTGGGGAGTCTGCAGTACCGTGTGTGCTGCTGTAAATGACTGAGCTGCCTGAAAGATTTCTGGCAGTAGGAGCAGGTGTAAGGCTTGGCCCCACTGTGGATGCGGATGTGCTGGGCCAGGTAGCTGGAGTTGGCGAATGACTTGGCGCAGTGAGGACACTTGTGAGGTTTGGCCTCTGTGTGCGACTTGGAGTGGATCTGCATGTCAGACTTACTGAGGAAGGTCGCCGCACACATCCGGCACCTACAGGCGGAGAGACACAGAAATGGGAGGGCGGGATGGAAGAACAAGAAGGAAGAAGAGGGACACGTATACAGAAAAAGAAACACAAGAGAAGATGATGGAAAGGACAAAAAAAGGAGATGAAAGTTGTTGAAAGGAGACAGGGGAATGAAATATTGACCCACAGAAAGAAATAAGATATGATAGAAAATGAAACTTACAAAAAAAAAAGGAAAATGAATCATATTAGATAAATTAATGTAGACAGGGGGGGTTAAATCAAATGTAAAAGACATGTAAACACAGGGAAAGATTTCAAGGGAGAAATCAGTGAAAACTCACAGGGAAAAGTATGTAGATACTATAAAAAGCGAAAGAGCACGACACAAGAGTGCTTGAGAGTTTACAACTCAAAGAGCATGCTATATAAAGACAAAGAGACAGTAGAGGCCAGGTGGCATTTCATTTCCAGTGTGTGCAGAGGCAGAGAGAGACAGTAAGAAGCACTGATGTATTTGTATCTCAAATACATTAAGAGAAGGATTCAACCGTCCACTAAAAAGCAGGCAAAGTTCTGCCACGACATGCAGTGAAGTGTGTTCAGGAGGAGGAGGTGTCTGTGTGTGTCAAATGCTCTTATCCAGCAGCGCCTAGTTCATCTATAAAAGCTGAACATCTCTATGCTGATTTCGACAGGATGCATTCCACAGCTAGAGCGAGGAGACATGGGGATGCACAACAGGCGTTGTTTTGACACTGTACCTGTATGTCTTTGTACTATCTTTTGGGCCATGGTCTTCCTCTTCATTTGACAGGTCATACGGGTCCCCAGTATGATGCTGCAAAGATGTCACCTGTCAAAAATAATATTCAGAGTTATCTAATGATTGTTCTTTTTAATTTATGATAAATAAATTACATTTTCCTCTCTACATCTGTGTTTTCTTACCTGGCCGCCGGCTGTCAGATGAGCCAGTATTAGAGTCTCATTCCCTGGTCCCCCCACAGGGCCGACCCTGGACAGAGCTGTCTTCTTCTTTCGGCCTCGTTTGGAGGGCGCTGGCATCACAACCACATGGGAAGTCCCATCTCCTTCTTTTTTGTCTAAAACAGGAGCAACAGCAACAGGTTAAGAGGGGAGAACGCTCTTAAACCCCAGCAGCCCTTCTGTATATTAACTGCCCTCTACATGTTGGTCTGTGGGTAGATTGAATGAATGAATGAAAATCAAAGTACGCTGCAGGAAGTCTCGTGTTTTTAACTGCGCTTATTCTTGTAGGTGTAACTGACAGTTGAATGGGCAGGGACATAGAATCTATGTTTCTTACTAAAAAAAACAATTTGGAATGATCATAACGCTCTGAATACTGCTTCCAACAAAAAGTTTTAAATAAACAGAAAAGCACAAACATACAAATATTTTATGAGCAAGCTGTGACAGCCTGTATATTTTTCGTTTTTTTTTTTTTTAATTAAAAACTGATTCACTTCAAGGCGTAGAACCGTAAGTTACTGGCACAGTCTGGATAAGTAATTAAATCATTAGCTGCTTATTTTCTGGTTTTGTTGCTTTGTAAGTCCTGATAACAATCTGTGCTTGTCATAACTGCAGAGATATCATTAAGAACAAACTAAACATAATATAATTTAATTTGGATGTAGTGACAAGGACATACTAAGTTTTAATCATGTGACGTATCACTAGAACAACGTTAAATGAAAATTTCAGTCATTAATGTTGCTAAAATACAATATTGTTATTGACTTCTCAGGGGGAGATTGATCATTATTATATTCCATTGTCTACACTGATGTTTTGAAGTCACTTATATAATAATAATAATAATAATAATAATAATAATAGTGCGTGTGTCATTGTGAGTTTTACCTGAAGAATGGAGTGCTGAAACAATCATGGTCGTTGCTGGATGACCAGAGACAAATGACTGAGACGAGGTGGGAGAGACAAGTGTTCCCTGAGGAGTGGTGATGACCAGACCAGCTGCACCAGAAGTAAAAAGAAAAAAGAAAAGTCACACATTACAAATATGACTACATGCAAATTCCAAGAATCAAAATTCTTCCAAATATACCCTGGTATTCGCTATAAACTATATTATGAACACATTTTGTGTATTGCTCTTGGCCCTTAGTACTGCTTGGAAGTTCCATGTAAGTGGAATTTCTTTGTTCTCATCAACTAAATAATTTAATGCATCGCTGTTATTTTATGTGTCAGAACTGAACTAATGCGATCGCAATCCTGCCTCAACCTTTGGAGTTCTTCTGATTTGAATACTTTGATCAGTAGAAATTATGTCAAAATGTATCGTGGAATAAACAAGAACGCTCTCAAACTGAGAAAGGCCCAGAGGCTTCTCCCTGCAGAGACAGACTCACCTGCTGTCATGATGCCTGTGGAGGGTACAGACAGCATGTTCTGGGTGCTGTGAGGAGGGTGGAGGTGTGCCACACTACCTGCCTGCCCTCCTCCATCTGTCTTTGTCCCAGGAGTGGGGATGGTGAGAAGAGCTGTTTGGTAGTGGGGTGCAGAGGAAGAGAAGGAAGCATTCTTTTCCTGTTGCTCTTTCACCTTGTTCAAAAACATGGCATTCTCAATCTGTTGATAGAGAGAAGATGTTTAATTTCATTAACCAGACTGGACTCCCTCAGATTCCTCTTATTAGTCTTTAAAAAGGAAAATTCTTCTTTACATCAATCTTAAAGAAACAACGTATTCTCTGTGTCTTTTTCCAGACTTACCTGTCCTGGTACGGTGGGGATCGGAGACCAGAAATACGATGAATTAAAATGAGAATCTTCCATCATTTCTGCAATGACACAAAAGGAGCAACAGTGAATTACTGTAAAGACCTGCACAGACCATAGCAGTGAACCTAATTCAAATGATGCCTATTTAAACAAACGCGCAACATCACATTAACAGACATATAAATATACAGCTGTAGTAGCAAATTTGACGAGTCAAGGGCAATCAGAGGGTCACATTTCTTCCAGATGATTTAGAAATAATTCTACATGTTCAAGTAGCCCTTTCATAATGCAGCTTATTAAGATGGACATCAATGAGACAGTTGGTTTCTCAACACCCCCAAGGATATGTTTAAGACTAATATATTTTATATAAAAAATAATGTAACAATGTCCTTTTTAAAAAGGTCCAGCTGTGATCCAGTCATACTCCTTGAGGCCTGGAGCCAAAAATGAGCTACACCTCTATTAAACCCCAGGGTTGCTCTGTGGTAATTTCATTAAACTCTATTTAATTTAGGAATATAACTCTTGTGGTAAAATATCAGATGAAATATTGGAGGGCTCAAAAGAGTACTCTGCACTTTTATAACATTTCCAGATTCAAGGTGGAGAGTTAAAAAAGAAAAAGGATCAAAAGTCACTTGAGGCAACTTATCAAACTTCTTGCAGCTCCCTCGGGGGCCACAAAAGGTTTTATATAACTTAAGAACTCATCAATATCTGCAAAAAGGACTTTAAAAAAGAGCGTAGTTTGCCTTTAAAACCCATTTTTGACACAGGACCCCTCTTTAAGTCTCAAGATCAAGATCATAAACCTGAACCTACCTTAAGGCCCTCAGCATGCCGACTGTTAACTTTCTTTGATAGACGAAACTACATTAGGCCAAATTACACTAATAGTATGGCTGAATTCCATTTAGCTGCTTCAGTTTCCGGGTCCTGGTATTGTGTGTACCGGCTCACAGTCGGCTGACTGGGACACTTGAACACAACAGAGCCATCATTCACACCTGTGCTTGTCCTACTATGACAAGTCAACTTATCTGCTGTGAAAAGGTCCCATAAATCAAATTACCACAAACTAAAACTGCCACACTGTGAAGCGTAGTGTATTTTTTAAGGGCCCCTGGATGTGTAGGGGCTCTTGGGGGGCAGTACCTCCAGTTAGTAATACAGCCTTGGGCCCAGCCAGTAGGATCCCACTGGCAAATGTCCAATTAAAAAAAAATAAAAGATAGATATAAAAAGAGAGGTAGACTGACTGATATGAGGAATTATAACGATTTAATAACTAACTTATTAGAAGAGACATGATGGGATGAGAGTCAAAGACGATATGGGGTGAAAAAGATAAATTGTTGCTCTCTGAGATTAAGATTTGACTCGATACAGTATAAAGTGTATATCAGATGCTCCTGGCATGGTAAAGACATCGATTATGTAACGTAATGTTAAACTTTCTTTCCTGGACTGCAGCTGTAAGGCATTGATTTAATGGTCTGGAGGCGCCGACATACAGTAACTGACCTCGGGTTTTTTTTTTGGTATTTACAGCAGATTCAAGTTCCTCAGCTATAGGTCGGCTGGCACGTAATGAACAGCGACACCAAATGTCCCTAAATGTTGTTAAATACCACAAATCAGATATGCGTAATGTTTACAATAAAGCCGTAGCTCAACAGAAGGACTCCATTTCGGCTCCTTGCATCTTGTAATGAGGCCCGACGTGCTGATTATCATACAGCTAGCGACAGAAAGAGAGAGAGAGACAGTGTGTGTCTGTAGTGCTCTGCCTGCTTGGGAAAAAAAATAACAAGCAAAGCAGAAAAAAAAAAAAAAAAAAACCCAAAGGATAAAAAAACTGAAGCGAAGAGAAAAAAAAAAAAAAAACCAATAGACCATCCTCACAGACTTCCGGCTGTGGAGACGGGTGGAGAGGCGGCAGCGGAGTCATGCAAATCTAACACACAAAAAAATACTACCGACTGCATGGAGAACAGTGGCGTTTACCGGTAACGACGACTCCGTCTCCCTACCCGGGACTCTCGAGGCTCCGGACGGTTTCGATACAGTTTCCAAAATGTGTCCAAATTCCTGCAAACCAGTGAAGTTTTTGCCCCTCTTTTTTTTTTTTTTTTTTTTTTTTTTTTTAGTTTTTTTTTTTTCCCTCCGGTGAAGCAGCTGCCTGAGCTTCACTTCCTCCGGATAAAGTCGTCAGACAAAAGAAGTGTGTGCGTTGATGTCACTTCCTGTAGTTGAGGGACAGTTGATTTATAAAACAAAATGTCTGAATTATTATCGTGTTCTCGGTTTCTTTACTGCTGCTGTTCAATAGTGAACACACACGGATGTGAAACGCATCCTGTACACGACTGTTTTTGTTTACTTTGTTACGTTTGAGCTTCAAGTTGTGAGAGAGAGGGAGGAGGAGGCAGCCAGTGGTGTATTCAAGGGCTGTCGGAAGAAATTTCCTTCAAATTAATCATCAACCTTAAGTCCTTGTCTTCCTCACTCTATGGATGGATTGCCTAAGGAGCAAACACAGGCCCAGGGGTCCGAGTGGGGCTGAATTTACACACCAGAGGATTTAGCCCTAAGGGTCAGGTCTTGTGCCTTAGGTCTGAGGGATCAGGGGAGCCCTGGGCAGAGCCATTAGGACTAGTAAGAGTAGACTTTACAACTCACATGGGAAACTTTATCACCAAGCAATCCCTACTTGTGACTAGAGGTGCAATGAGTCAATTCACAGAAAAGTAATTTCATATTTCAATATTGGATTAATAGTTTAAGCCATTTTCAAGCACAAATGCTGAACATTTAACGGTACATGCTTCTCAATTGTGACAATTTGTTAATTTTCCTTGTCCTACATCTGAGTATATTGATTGGAACTATTATTCTGACAATATAAAAACACACTTTGAAGTTGCATTTATTTCATGCAGTGTGGCCCCTTCAAATCTGCACAATAAAGTATTACCATACAATAAAGTGTATTACAGTCCCAAATTTACTGCTGTACTATTACTATATGTAATTTTTCCCTTGTCTACAACACTTGGCGATGTTTAGTTCAACCATAGGCCTACATCAGTTTTTATACAGTTAAATACTGAAGTAGCCTTTGAATAGCTTTCCAATGACCAAAATAACTGCCAGTTAGTTTTGGTTTTGTTTGTTTTCTTATCTCATTTACGACTCGGAAGCTCTAAAAACGAGCCGATGGAACAGCTCTTGAACGCCGCAAAGCCTTACCGACCTCCGGTTGACAAAGTGACTTTTAGTTATTTGGACTTTTGTTGAGTAAATTAACTGTACACAACTTATAAAACCCAAAACTATAACATCTGCTTAAATGACTATCGGTAAAAAACTGTACATGTAAAATTATATTAATGATTAAGAGTTTTTTTGTTAAGGAAACGCTTTCAGGGTCCACATGATGTCGCTGTAAGGACGTTTAGCCTTTTGTCAACATCCGGCGACACGTCTCCTCAACACACCGCTGAGCCGGAGTCCGATGCATCTTTATTTATTTAGACTTTTCATTAAAAGGCGATGTTGTATCTTTGACACGCTGCGACCAGCTGAGAGTGAGTCGTGTGCGGGGTTTTAAAAGTGTGGTCAGGGGTTTGGATTGGGCGCTTTAGACCAGCCCAGAGCTTCAAATGGGGGAGGTGAGGAAGCTGCAGAAGAAGTTGAGACAGATTGAGAATCTGGAAATAAAAATCAGTCTTACCCCTGAGGAGAGATTCAAGGTACAGAAACACTTCATCTGCATGTCGCCCCCTCCCTTTAGTGTGATCTGTGTGTAACCTGTGTGACTTTGGTAAATCCTGAATAGATTTCCCTCAGGTTTAACAACAGGTCATGACTGCAACTCAAGACTTCTTTACAGCTCAGACACAGATTTAGTCTTAATTAAAAACATCTGTATTACAGTATATCAGATTTGACACAGAGTAGCCGAGCTCACATGGTTAAATAAAGGTGTTTTAATTATGTATGAATGCTGCAAAGTTATGAGGTGAGTCCTTATTAATTAGGAATGGCAGTGTTGATATTACAAAGACGAAAATATGTGATTAACATGAATTAATAATTATGGTGGGATGAATAATTTGAGCTTTAGCCTCAGGAATTTGGGAGATCAGAAGCTTACACTTTGAGCAGGGAGCTTCAGGATGTTAAAGGGCAGAATCTCAAGCTTATAAGTTATGGCCATGCCCTTCAACAGTGTTGTTTATTTACTGAGCTGCCCTTACATCCCCTAATTAGATACAGGAAAATAAATGTCCCACACATCTACAGCTGAAGATCATTTGGTTGTGATGGTGAAGGTTACTGGTAGGTTACCGGTAGTACTCATGTATACTATTAATGGGCAGTACCTATAATTAATCTCTGTGAATAAGTTGCATTTCCTTTGTCTGGATTTATAGTGTTTGTGAAATAGTCTACATCTAACCAGATATTGATTGTAAAACAAGAATAAAAATCCCTATAAAGTAATAATTCATTGTAAATAGTGTATTATTTCCTTGATAAAGTAACATAGAGGCAGATTTCACATTTTGGGGAACGAAGTTAATGGATTTAGACTTTTAAAAGTGTATTGTACTATAAAGCAGTGGTGGAATATAATATAAATAAAGTATTACTGACAACTACTGTCCTTAAGTACAATTTGCAGTGGTTGTAGTTAGTTTGGGTGTTTCCAGTTTATGCTTCTTCTACATTTTAAAGGTTCATGTTTTACTTTTTACTCCACTACATTTATCTGACAGTCGGTTACTTGTTAATTTTCAGAGGAAAGTTGTACATAGAAAAGATATATAACAGGTTTATAGAATATTACGTATTGTTACAGATTCAACTATACAACAACAGTGTAGAAGATCTTTACTATAATTAGCTGAAACCACTAACAAAATGAAAATGCTGTTTACACAGTTATATAATGATAATTCAATAATAGAGGTCGACAGATGTGGGTTTTTCAGTGGCTCATATTTATAGAGCAGGGCAGCTGATGGCCGATAGGAAGAAAAGTCATGTTTGATTTTATTCTATTCTTTAGGAAATTCTGCAGATAGTACAGGACTCAAAACTCTTTTGCTCATTGGGTTTGTGAGTGCAGACATCAGTCGATCATAGATAATCATCACTATTCAATAATATACAAACAGGAATTATTCTGCTGCCCAAAGCGTAGTTTTACTTCAGTATTTCTTTAATTAAATAATAATAGTGAACAATGCAGTGTATAACAGTCCCCAATTTCCTACTGCACTATTTTTGCAAAAATATGATGTTTAGAGGTTAAATTATATTTGGCACTAATAACAATTTTAAGAGTATTTTTATATTGAGGTATTGTTACTTTTGCTTAAGTAAAATATATAAATACTTCTGCCACCACTGCCCACAAGACATTTCTTTCCTATAGTCAAAATCAGAGTAGCAGATATTCTGACTTGCAGTCTCTAGTAAGGATCAAGGTTGATCCTACATTTCCCACAATGCTACCACACCCTGTCTTTGTCTTACCCTTCCTGCCTACTAATTGTGAAAATATTTTCAAACCTTATGCCCCAAGTTTCTGTAAAAAAAAATTGTAGTATCCAATCCCAAACCGAGATAACCCAGAGGAGATCACTATTATATCATCAGGGGTTACTTTGTCCATCTTCACAAAGCTCCATCAGAGCCACAAGTTACATCATGTAAGTGTTTTCACAATAAATGTAATAGATTTTGGGTGGTGCTCCTTTAACACAGGAAACTGCCTTAATATCAAATTGACATGCTGAAATCTCTCATTTATGCATGTTTCATAACTCACAATCAGACAGCAGTACGACGTACGTAGCCAGTTGCAGTGTAATAAATCAAGACAGGCTGAGTATGTTGGTTGTGCATATAAACAACTTGTGGATTTAGCAGCTTGGTTTACAACCAATCTCGTGCCTTCTTCTCTCTCAGATCTCCAGGAAGGCGGAGCTGCGTTCCAGATTGGCTGCGCTTCAGCTGCAGCTTTCTGGCCCGCAGCAAACTCTGGGGATTGTGGGAGACGGAAAAAAGGAGAAGATGAAAAGACAAGTGTAAGGAAGTGAGGGAGAGGTACCAGCAAGGGGGGGCAGATGGAAAGAAGCATAATTCTTCAAAAGCAACAACATTCACTTTGAAGCCTTTGATCTTTTTTGTATGTCTATCTGAACACACTGGAGGTCAAATACTGTCACGCTTGAAGAAAATGGGAACTTTCTACTGTTCATAATGTGTCATGTAAACATCATTCAGGGATGCCGTCCTCCCTATTAAAGCCTCTCAGGAAATCACCATGTGGATATTAACATCAAACTGAATGAAACGCACGTATTCTTTCCAGTATGCAGACTAGGAGCTCATTATTAAAAAGTACTTTTGTTTGTGTGAGACTTAAAGATCCTCTACAGGTATGCTCCCTGCCACAGAGGATGCTGTGTGCAGTTTTGCATCTTGATTATTCATTCAGCTCTTGCTTTCTGCACTGGCAGAGAGGATGCCCCTGAGGCCCTTCCATCACAAACGCCTCCAGCCTCCAAGATCCTTAAGGGAGAAGAGAAGTCCAAAGCTCAAGCAACGCCAGTACCGGCTGCCAGGCAGAGGGAGACGGGAGGGGGAGCAGAGACAGGCAGACAGCGGGAAAGGACAGAGCCGGCCAGAGTGTCAGATCACTGCCGGGACACTCACAACGAGCAGCAACTGCGACAGGAAGGTGGGTTAATTAAGAAATGTGGCTGAAGAGATTGTTATTACAGTTTATCGTAGACAGTTAAAAGTACAATGCAGCGGCCTAATGTGCGATTAACATCTAAAATCAGATTATACGTGTATGCCCAGAGGAATCCTAACAAGCTCATGTGGCTGCCAGTATTAAAAACCAACAGGCTGCATTTGCATCCCTGAAGACAGGACCCACGTTTTGCATCCTTGGAGCTAAATTAGCCTCCCTCTTTGCATTGGCAGACTACTACATATTTAAGAGCTGTGATTGACATGCTGGGGTGATGAGGCAACATTGCTAATTGCAGAAATTATTTCTTTTACAGACGCTGAATTTACATCCCTCAAATCATCTTGGGAGAAGGCAAAGTTTCGCTTGAGGCTGTTGGAGGGTCACAATGACATAGTCACCTGTGTGGTTGCCGTTGACAACCTGGTGGTTTCTGGAAGGTAAAGCAGGGAAGAAGCCTCAATTTGCATAATGGATGTGCAAAGTGAACATTTCACCTAATTTATCACTTAATATGCTCGCGCTCTCTCCCTTGCTGTCTGACATGTATTTGTTTTTCTTCCTCCGCCCCTGATCTCTCAGCGCAAACACCTTTTAACTTTGCTTGTTTTTAGCCGCCTTCTCACACTTACTATAACTCCCTCTTTGATCCTCTCTTTCTCCTCTAAGCCGAGACACGACGGTGAAGGTGTGGCACGTTCCCACGGCAACGGAGCACAAGAACCTGGGGGGTCACACCGGTGGGGTCACCTGTCTGTCTGCTCCTCCCCCTGAGTACTGCAAGAGGCTCGGTGAGGATATACACACACACACACACACACACACACATCCTTACATGTGGTCCGAGTACAGCTGAGTAATGCCTGTGTCCTGCGGTCTGGTAATTATAGGAGCAGTTCATCAGATCAACCCCAGTGAGAGATAACCTCAGTAGACACTTTAGAGAGTTCGTCTGTCTGAAGCAGGCAGCCTTCCATCACTTTAACTCCAACGGCCTCTCCGGCTTTCCTCCTACTCTCCCTCCCCCACCTGCTTCCCCAACTTAAAATACCAAGTCAAGAAGTGTAGTGCATAAATGATGCAGCTCATTCGAACCATAGCTACACTGTGTTCATCGACTAATTATTTTTTTCTTTTTTTTAAAACCATATATATTCTCCATTTGCCTCGTTATCGCAATCTTTCTCTTTTTTTCATTTTGTACATCATCACTTATTTACAGCTTTCTCCCAGCTTAATCTTTTTGTCTTCCTCTCTCTCTCTCTCCCTCTCGTTTTCTGATCCCTGTTTCTTCCTCCTCCTTCTCCTCCTCCTCCTCCTCCTCCTCCTCTTCCGTCCTCTCCTGCTCTTTTGTCTGTGTTTGCCCTCTCCCCAGCCTGGTCCCTGTCTTTGTCCGACAAGGAGAGGTTTATTTTGAGTGGCTCGGCAGACTGCTACGTGAAGATCTGGGCCCTGAGCATCGGTACGCTTAACCACACAAACATGCACACAGAGATATATACATATATTACGTTAGCTTTAATATAAGGTGGCCTCGGGGCTCTGTCTGAGAAAAGTGTGCATGCGTGCATCTTAATCAATGTATTCCTGTGTGACTGGTGGTCTGTGTCCTGTCAATTAAATTAGTATTTTCCCGTTACCTCCAGGGCAGTGTGTTAAGTCCATCTACACATTCAACGCTGTGACTGCACTCTGCTTTGTGCCAGAAGAAGATGGCTACATCATCACTGGGTCAGGTGTGTTTTTGTGTGGAGAGCAGGTGCATGTGGAATAACTAAGAGTAGTGATACAGTGAACAGAATAATTGGAGTGAGATCACATCGTATTTGTATCTTGTATCTACTTCTGTACATGTAGGTTTTTTGGGATATGCGTATATGTCTTTACTAATATGTAGGCACAGTGGCATCATCTGCCAGTGAGTTAGAGTGTGTATCACAGGGCTATTGGGCTGAATCAGAGAGATGGTGGCACACAGATTAGGCAGTCAGGCTCAGGTGGGTCGACCGTGACCAACAGTAATGACTGCCAGACGCCTGTCAGCACATGTTAACCTCACTCTCTGTCACCCCTACAGACGGGGGGAAAGTTCAAGCCTGGAGCTGGCACACTTTCGAAAACTGCCAGTCAATCAATGCTCACCAGGAAGCAGTCACCTCTGTCCAGGTGGGTGGGTCACTCACCTGCTGGCCACTGATATGCTGTCCGCGCTGAGGATGCTCAAGCTGTTTTTTTCATGTTCAGCCCATTTTTAAGAAACACCATGGCTGACACAAAAAACACACCAATGTTTCTTACTCTCTAGAAGCTGTCTAAAGTAGTTTCTCTACTCTTGATTATTAATTTGTGAAAAAGCCTCTCCTCAGGAAATCAAACATCTACATTTCTTCACTGTTATCCTTGTTTATTGCTTTCAAATGAAAATCAAAGATATTTGTTGAGATGTAAGCTGTGGAGCTCGGCCAATTTTAGAGAGCATACTGTACATATTTGGAGCAAAAAGGCTTTTTATGGTTATTGAAATCCAAAGCTGCATATGCACATTTTTTCAATTTGCAATCATCAAAATATGCCTAAAGCATTAAAGCGTAGCGCATCATTGTCATCCTCTTTGTTGTTTATCATGCAAAGCGCACAATCCATTTATAACCAGCAGCAGCACAGAAATGTACATTTTGAAACTGTTCACACACTTCTTTTCCATTTACACAAACATACATACACACTCCAGCTTTCTGTGTATCTATCTATCTCTCTCACACAGACACACACACACACTGGGTAAAGACTCAGATCACCATGACAACCACGTCTCTTGTGCCCTCCACAGTCTCAGGGTCCGCTGGTGTTCAGCGGCTCGGCCGAGGGAGGGGTGTCTGTGTGGGAGAACCGATGTACGGATCGAGACCCTCTGAAGCTGCTACACCACTGGAGCGACCAGGTGACGGGCTGCGGAGGGGGGCCAGGCGGGCGTCTAACCCTCAGCCCGCGGGGAGACAGAGTGTTCCTGGCTTACGGTCGAGCCTGGCTCAAGATCCTGCACTGGAGGACCGGTGAGCTCTAGAATGGGATGGGCAGCGTGTGTGTCAGATAGAGAGTGAAAGATTTAAAAAGGAAGGCAATGTAGGGGCATCTGCATAATCCTTCCACCTAACATCTGTCCAATTATCACAGGAACGATGTCCAGACTGACCAATCACAGCAGCATCACCGGGGTAACAGATTGCGCTCACCAGACAGGAGGCCTCCTAATTGGCTCCTGCTATGATCTGGCGAATGGAGAGAGCTCGCTAAATTGTAAGTCGAAGAGTAAACCATGTGCAACCATAAGTTACTCGCTCCACTCTGAGAGGGTGAAATCATTGTAAAGACTTAAGACAAAATCGAAACGACTTTGTTTTCCTCTGTTGACCTCCGCTCCCTTTATCTCCCTCTCCTCCCTCTAGTATTCTGTCTGCCTCAGTGTCGGTACCTGGCCTCTCTGACCTGGGCCGATGCTCCCAGAATCCTCTGCTTTGCAGCATGGACCACAGGGAGCGGAGACCACCGGTGGGTCACTGGAGGTCGCGACCTCATCGTATGGGAGCAGCTCCCCAGTTCTGGGAAGCAGAGGTGGGGCAATGCATGTCAGCACTACTCAGCTAAGAAGATTTTAATCTAAACTGCTCAATAATATTTCTTATTTCCATATTTCGTCAACTGCATTGATAATTCTAAAGCTATACTAGGATTTATTATGTGCTAATGGGTTTAACAGATTCTCACACACACACTTTTATCGATATTAGATGTTTAATTAATTGCAGGTATAAATGTTACAGGGGTGACATCACAGTAAAGAGAGACAGTCGATTGGAGTCCTGCTTGCTGGAGTCCGAGGGGGACACAGAAGATGATGAGACTGATGGTAAAGACACACACACACACACTGCAATTTCACACCTTTTCGTGTCTTCATTTACTGATGCACCCGCTTAATGAGTAACCATGGAATTGCAGATTTCACTATCAAGTTAATTTTAGATGATGCACGTCGTGATTAATCCTTCTGACCTCCTTGTCAAATTTAGATTGTGAGGATGATGATGACAACGATGAAGCAGGAGACAGCCGGTGTGATGGTGCGGAGGATGCAGGGTCCGGCTCGTGGCTGCGTTGCGTTCTCCAGTGAGTGCCGGTTTTCTCACGCTGAGGACACCACGGCCTGCAGCCATGAAGAGGAAATTAGAGTGAGGGAGCGTAGTGACAGCGAAGGAGGGTGCAGGGGAGTGAAGTGTGACAGACTGAGTGTCAGTGTCGGAGGGGGAGCATATGGATGGAGAAAGCGAGTGTGTGTGTGTGTATGTGTGAGTGGTAGGCAGATTGTTTTCTATGTAAATATTATTTCCACACACAATAAAGCTGTCACAATGTGACTCTCACCTCCAAATTTGCATCTCTTGTTGTCTTTTTTTCTTTCAATTTGACCCTCTCTTCTTCAGACACCAGTTCATTGCCCTGCTCTGCCGGTGCAGCCTGTGTAAATGAATGTAAATTAAATTTTATTCCATCTTTATTCCCCTCATTTCTTCCTTCCTCCTCCTCTTTGCTGTCTGTATTTCTGTCTCTTTCTCTCTGGGGTGTCCTTGCTGTTTTTGTAAACATAATTGAAGAGTTTTTTTTTTTTTTTTAAAACCTTCCGCCTCTAAAATGAGCTTATTAATGTCGTCCTCAGTATCATTTCTGTTTGCCTCGTCAAATTCATTTCTTTTCCTTTGCGTCCATTTAATTGAACCCGTTTAAAAAAACACATAATTAGCATTTAAATCTCTTTCCTTCAGTCTCTTGCCCTCCCTACATTGCTCTCTCTCTCCCCTCTCTTACTCTAGCAGACTCTACATGTCTCAGTCGCTACGGCAACCGATGCTTTTTTTTCTCACTTGCTCTCTGTATCTCCCCCTTTCTCTCGGTCTCCCTCTCTCATTCCCTCTCTCCACTGCCAGAGGTAGGCATGATAACTGATATGTGTCGGAGCGTATGTGTGTCTGTGTCTGTCTCCCAGTGTGCTTGTGTGTCTCTAAGTGACATTTCTGTGGCATTTAGTCAGCAGTTGTGGATAGGAAGTTACCGCTCTCTGCTCAAAGTGCCATATAGAGTATTGGCTCCATGCATGACGCCTCTAATGATGATTAATGTGCTGTGCTCAGGTGTGTGCACTGTAAATGTGTGTGAGAGACAGGCAGTGAGTGTGTACTTCTGGGTGTTTTTGAATGCAGATGTGGGTTCTGTATAGACATGTGGCGCATAATTGACCGTTAAATTTAAAATCCCAGGGGAGTCTGTATGTTCTTTTTAAAAAAAGTGACAGCGTTGGCTTTCTGCCAGGGCTCTTGCTGGTGTCTGTGTTTACATGGTTTTTATCTGGCAACATAAAAGAAAGAAGAAAAAAAAAAGCTGGACCCTCCCCCTTTCTCTCCCTCTCTCTATTTCTCTCTTGCCCCTCTGTCCTATCTTACAGAGAGAGATGATCGGAGGAGCGGAGTCTCAGTGAACAGAGCGAAGCGATGGAGAGATGGTAAGATGGATAGTATCTAAGGTGAAGGAGGGATGTATGGCGTGCAGATGCATAAAATGTCATTCTGAGTGATGGCTGGCCGGGGAATCAATGTCTGAGCTGATGAGGTCGTGCAGGGTGCCTGTTGACAATACATTTTCTCAGATAACTTCTCTGTCACTCCACCACTTCTCATTCTTTCTCCTCCACTTCTCTTCCAGCTCCATCTCTCCTGTCGCACGACTGACTGCCCTCCGCTGCCTCATTTCCCTCCTTCTGGTTGCTCTGGTGACACAGCCCTACACCTGTAACCGTGACGACAGCGAGGGCGAGGAGCAGGTGGACGCCCTGTCTGTCCAGCTGTCCGTTACGGCCCAGGTCACACCCACCCCTCTGTGGGCTGTGGTCTGGGGTCCCACGCAGCCTCTGGAGGATGAGACCTACCACTTTCTCTCCAGCCAGGAAACCGACCCCCTGCACCAGCATGGAAACCAGCAGGAGGCCAGCACCACCACGTCCGAGGACTGGCCTTATCCTGCTGCAAGCGTGCAGCCCCAAGAGGAGGCACCATTGGAGTCTAGGGACAAGGAGGGAGTGGAGGATGGAGGAACGGAGGCGGAGGAGACGGAGCCTGAGGAAGGTGGGCATCAGGAGATGCACATGAAGGATTTCTAAATAAAGGTGGCCACGAGCCAAGTCCATGTGAACACACACACATGCCACAAGTCCTCCAGGGAATTAGCTGTCACCAGGGTGAAGGCTGACACTGTGCGGTGTGCAACCGGCTGTGTCTGTGGCGGGGAATGCCTAATAAAGTTCTCATCACTCACAGGGAGGAATTGGCCGCTGTCAAATTGCAAGATACTGAGAAGACGTCATCGGATTAGTGTTATAGTTGGAGGCCAGCGTCTAGCACATCCAATTTCATGTTTCAGCCGGCTTCATTGATTTCTTCTTTTGTTCTGGATACAATTATACATGGTCATGGTCTGAGATTAGTAACTGCATGAGCATGTGTGTATGTATGTGTGTGTTACAGTGGACCCTCAGTTCTACGTCACCGTGACCATCTCCTCGCTGCTCATCTTGACGGCAGTCATCATTACAGCCAAACTCTGGTAGGAACCGAAACTTTCTCCTCCAAAATCTTGTGTGTGTGTGTGTGTGTGTGTGTGTGTGTGTTCTTGGCCACATAAATGTAAAGTCAACATTGTTAAATAAGGGTGAATGATGAGTGAACAATGAACTTTCCTTGTATGAGCAGGAGGGTACTACTGGGAGGGGTTTTTAAGGTAAAAGCTGTGAAAACAGCCATGTGCAGAGCAGTGTGAGATGCCCTTAATATGGCGTCATTTTGGATTTCTAAATTGAACTCTTTCGGACAGAGAGCGTTAAATGAGGTGCTTGGGCTGAAACCATTTGTTATGATAAAAATTTATTTTTTTGAGAACAACGTGTACCTTAGTTGAAGCAGAGATGTGTTGAGATCAATTGTACATTTACTCAGAACAGAGATTCCCAATCTGGGGGCCAGTAGCCCCAGAAGTTAACAAGATGATAAACAAGAATAGAAAAGGAGAAAAAACATATTTCTGCTTAATTTTTCAGAATGCAGTGCAATATTTGCTTTTCACTGGATAATTGTAGTGCGTTGTAGCATTGAAACAATGTAATCTCCTTTTTTATTGACTTGCTTATTATTCTTAGACTTATCCAAACAGTGAAGAGGAGTTTCAGGTAGATGCATCTTAGTTTTAAGTGGTAAAATATGTTGGGAACCACTGACTTACATTAGTTTCTGTCCGTAAGTGCAAAGAGATTGGAGTATGCTATTTTTTGAAAAATGGGACTGGAGGAGTGTAGAATTTGCTTAAATTTACTAAAAACAGGAGACGTGCCCTTTTTAACCCACTGCTGGGTCAAGATGAAAATGTGTGGATTGGACCAGATGTGTCGGGATTAATGAAGAGGCCAGATGTGTGGGTTTAGTGAAGATCAGATCTTGATAGTTGCAGATGTGTGCATGTTGGTCTGCCTGTCTTGTTCTGTATCTCTGTTGTCCATGACTACATAATGTGTCTATGTATCCCCCCTAAAGTGAGCGCTGAGTAATTGCTTACTAATTACTTTATTAACAACACTTGTGTTCCTGAAAGTCACAGTTGGCACAGATGTGTCATTTAGTGCCATTAGAGTTGCAATGATTAAACATTCTCTATAACCATTAGGATGGGACTGGGAAGCAAAAACAGATCTGTTGGCTTACAGGCTTGAGCAGTAACGTGGCTTCACTGGTATCAATGTGCTTTAACAGCACACCGGCCATTAAACCTCTCAGAGCATGTAAACACAGGGTGGGGGTTCTGTATATGTTACGTTTTCAGGCCTCGTAGGAAGTGCTTGCTGCACACATGGCCATTAGCTGGAAATGGGGAGTCATCTATGTGATGTAGTAGAGCACTTCCACGCTTTGCTGATCAAACCAATAACACCTAGTTTATATGACCACTGGGACGTCTCTCTCCTCTCTTCCTGCGTCTCACACTCTACTCTTTTCTTTTTTTTTGTCAATCTTCCTTTTTCCCCTCACCCATTTATACTTTTACTCTCCTCCTCCTTACTGTAATTCCCTTATCTGCTCATTTTACCCACATTTCTATTGTATCATAATTTTTCATTTCATTGCCTGAATCTGTATAATTTGTTCTCCTTCACATCCCTTTTTCCCCCCCCCCCCTTAATCTCTCCTTTGCTCCCACACTCCTACATTATCTTCCCTCACTCTCTCTCTCTCTAACCCTCCCTTCCTCCCACTTGGGCCTCCTTCTCTGCTCTCGCCTCCCAGGGATTTTTTTTTTTCTGCGAATACCTGTGCTCTCCCCTCTTCTTTCAGGTTCTTTCGCTTAGTTCCAGTTATCGTTGTTGCCTGGCTCTAACGCTGCCTGTCTTTGCACAGCTGGTGCTCCTCTTATCTCCATCACCAGTCTCCTATCTCTCCCAGCACCGCCAGTCCGGCTGCAGATCCACAGATAATCCTCCAGCTTGCTGTGAGCTGATACATGATAAACCCCCTTTTCTCTCTGTTCCTGAGACTGGCCTTCGCTGTTGTTCGGATAACATACTTCATCGGCCCCTGCCGTGGAGGGAAAGCCCACGCTCCTGGTGAATCCAAAGGGGCCATACAAAATTGAGATTTGCAGGGTATCAGACTAGAGACATGGCAGCAGCCCCTCTCTATAGACTGGCTCATGCTTCAGTGTCATAAATGTGTAAATAACGCCATGTGTTAGATGGAGAAAGTGCCACGGAATGAACGGGAAGGGGGTACAGATGGACTGAAATGATAGCCTATAGTGGAAATTGGCCACCGTCCAGTTCATTATGATTATAGAAGAGCAGCATATGTGCTCAGTGATTTTCCCAGCCCTAAAATCGTCAGTGTGTCTAATGTCGTCAAGTGTGACGGTGTTTGTGTGTAACTGTGAGTGTGTACATAGAGAGAGAGGAGTCAGCCGGAAGAGGACAGGTGTTACTGAGGGAAGATGAGGACGCAGGATGGCTTTTATGCCTGCGAGAACAGCTTTGTTGTGCCTCTAAGTATTCTTAAGAGTCTGAACCTGTGACTCTCGACTGTGTCTTCACCTTAACTCGCTGTCCTTACCGAAGTAATGGCGTCACCCTTCTGCCCATTTCTTCGCCTTGTTGCATCCTCCCCACCTCACCCTCCTCTGAAATCCCTCCCTCCCTCGTCCCACAGTGGCTTTGTCCTTCCCCATTTCTCGCTCTACCTCCCTCTCCCCTCTGACAGCGTTTTAATGAGTCCGATGAGTGCACTAATTCTCTCTCACAGTGGCAGTGTAATGTGTTCGCTGATGCTAAATGGCTCGGCTTTTCTTGATGCTCTCTGACTTTGTTTCTCTGTCTCTCCCCCCTCTGTCTTTTTTTCTTTATTCTGCTGTTTTTCCAAATATATTTCTCTGTCTATCTCCCTTAATTTCAACCTCTCCCTCTATTACTTCTCTGTACCTACCTCTCTCACCTTCTTTTACTCCAACTTTCTTTGTGTCTTTTCATCTTTGTTTCTATTCCTGTCTCTCTTCTTCTTTGTCACCTTCTTCCTTAATTTCCATCTTTTTTTCTTTTCCATCCATCTGTCTGCAACTTTGTTTTTCCCCTTCCACCAACCCCTGTCTCCCCTTTCTTCTTCACTCTTTCTTGCCATATGCTCTATCCTCATCTTTTCTTTCTTCCTCTCTTTCCACACATCTCCCCCATTTTTTGCCTCTTTCCATCCCCTCTCCTCCTTCTTCACCCTCTCTCCCTCTCTCCATATATCTGTGCCACTATCCTTCTCTCCCAGTTACGATCGCAGCTGTTCCCAGCATCCGCCCCCGCTTTCCCGTGGCGTGGCACCCCCCCTTTCCCTCGCGCTCCCTCGTTCCCTTGCTTCGGAGGACAGCCGGCAGACGTTGCACAGCACCTCCTCCTCCTTCACCGACAGGGAGAGGTAATGAGTCGCCTCACCAGCTCTGCACTGTCTGAGTGTGTGTGTCTAAGTCTATGAGTCTGATGTGCGTCTGTGACTCTCTGTGCACCTCTGGATTCAAGTTTGTGTGTGTGTGTGTGTGTGAAGCAGCCTTATTACCTCTTTAGTGGGCATTGTAAGGATGTACTAGGAGTATAATTGGACAGTAGTGCTGTTCTCTGTGGAGTATTCAGGGCTGGAGTGTTGGTGCTACTGTAAGATGTATCAGTGTTTTAAACTCCTTCTCCAGATGAGTCATTGTGGGCCTGTGAAAAGGCGCCCAGCCATCGTCCATGAAATGATGCTTTTATTTGAGGGTATTTAAAGTTAATCTCAATCGTGATAATTATAGTGCTGTACTCCAGTGCTCCCTCTCACTTCCTCCCCCCCATCAGCTTTTCCTCCACCTTCCTCCTCTTCCTCCTTCTCTTCCGCCTCTTCCCCCCGCCGCCCTCTCAGTCCCCTGTGATGCAGCTTTCCGTTTGCGTGTACACCACTTACCCAGCTTCGGGCCTCTCTGCTCCACTTCTCTTCCCTTTTTCCTCCCATCATCAGGGCTCCCAAGCTTCCCAAAATCCCCCCTCCTCATCTTTATCATTTTCTTTCTATCTCACTCTTCTTCTCTGTGTCTCTTGCTGTGTCAGGATCCCAGTTGTGAACCTCTGAGGTGACTGTTTTTCCATATGGTAAACATTTCTACGGGGCCTGAGGAGAAACATCAACATGACCAGAGGGTGTGCCCACAGCTCCGTTTTATTTTCTCTGAAACTGTGAAACGAATTCAGGGATCCCAGGTATCCAGCCATCACAAAACTCCTTGGCTCCCCTGAGGTCTAAAAAACCCAAACTCATCTCCCTGTTGCTCCCTCCTTCCTTCCGTCCTTCCTCTGTGCTCGGTGTAAATTTCTTTTATGTGGCTCTGCGTCACTGTAACCTGCTATCTGTTTTCCATCCCCTGTATGGCCCCGAGCTCTGCCAAGCTACCCAACCGCTCTGTGCTTCGACCTGCCATGACTAATTCACAAACAAGCAGTTTAACAGCCGTGCAACATCCCATTACCCCTGAAATGCCCTACCTGTGCTTCCACAACTGTTTCCAGTGATTCAGCAGCACATGTGAAGCTGTTCAGTGTTAATTCTAATCCAGCAGACTGTTGAATGAAATGACACTCAAATTCAGTTCTGTGTAGCAGGCTTGCATCTGGTTTGTAAATGGTTAAAAAGCCATTCTCAGCATCTCCAAACACTGAACGGGGTATTTCACAAAGCTGTTTGGCACGGCTGTAGCCAACAGGCAATGTGTTTAACATGTCACGCTCCAAAAACTGCTGTTTATTCCCCGCTTTGGGCGCCTGAAATGCAAATAGTGTGGCTTTTTTCCTCTGCAGTGTGTAGAGGAGTCTGTTTTGTTTCAGTTTTTCCTCATGATTTGTTCTCTTAATTATCTGGCTTACGTTCACCTCTTTGTCGAGCCTTTGTGAGCAACCTTTGTTTCTGCTGGACTGTGTAGAGGTGTTTTAAGCATAAAGTACTTCCAGCGGTGGAGCTAAAATATTCAGAACAGGGATGGATAGAAGAGGCATTCCTGTTGAAAATCAATGATTCCCAAAGGTTTTGGATGGTGCACAACAAAGACAGATTTATGTCGCCATGGAAATGAGCATCTGTGAACTGTACGCGTGATCAAAGGACTGATGTTACCAAAACAAGGAATTTTTTTCCACCTGACAGCCAAGTATTTCAATCTGGAAATAAAATCCACCATCATTTCCCTTCATATCATTATCAAGTCACTGTATATCAGCTGTCTTGGGTGCACCAAAGGAAAGTAGTACATCAAGGAGCATCATTTCTGTCTCTCCAATGAATCTGCATGTATAGAGTAAGAAAACCTGTGAGAGTTGCTTCAAATCTATTATTTATAAATGTCTATTTTATCTAGCAGTGAGTGATATCTTACAGAACCTTTCAAAGCCAAATGTCAGTTTGTGTTTGGCAATTTTTCTAAGCATCAGACATGAACCCCCCCACTTACACACATTTCCACTACAGACATAGTGCTGGTGGCTTCATGCGTGGCTCGTGCAATCCTCCAGATATCCAGTCTTGTGATTTTTAGTAGCATTCCTGTAGAAATGTGGTCTTTTCTGTACCATGGAAGTTAAATAAAGACTCAACACTGGCGTTTTAGCTTTGTGTCTATCTGTTTATTTCTGTGCATGTTGAATGAATTCCCCTGGGAGCTGTGTGATCTGCAATGCTTTATGGGAATGACAAAGCTTACACTGTGCTTTTTAATAGCTACTCCTGTATCCTAATCTTTTTCTCCCTGAAGTGAACATTTAGTCCACCGCCTTGCACTGATTTTGAACCGTGGGCTTGGCATTAAAAAGTCCTGCATGTGCCAATCATGTTTTTACCAGTGAGGAGCAGCTGAAAAGGAAGAATAAGGCTGCTGCTTGTGTGTGAAGCTTTTCCTTATCTCCTCACCTCATATGGATTCCTCACGCTTCAGAAAGATTAACAGGATGCTAAGCAAGAATTTCCTCTGTGTACAGTTTTTCAAACAAATGTCAATAAAAATCGAGGCGGCGCAAGTGCAGAAATGCCACCCAAGTGTATTGAGATTCTCCAACAGTCTGCTGCATAGCTAGGGTTTCCATCTCCTCTGGGCATTTTACTGATCAATCACAGTAATTGATTGGCATTGTTCCAGTCAGAAGTTTTAATGACCGTCTAGTTATGAGGCACATACCAGCAGATGCTGCAGCAATCACACAGTACAGTACCACAGTGGACAAACAAAACAAAAAAAAACACTAATGCAGAAGTTAGGTGTGAACTTGAGTCATCACTCATGCTCACACCTATAATAAACACACCTGAATCACCTGACACTTTCTCTTCAAATTACACATACGCCAACTAACCCCCTTTTCCCTATCCAACACTTTGAGAGGTGTACAGCTGTTAGAACTCACAGCTCCAGTCTGGTAAAAACTGAACCAATCAAGCTCAATCACACTGACTGAAATTAACACCACTATTTATAGAGGTGAGAGGGATGTTGGAGGGAGGGGAGGATAGAGAAAGATGCAGGGTTAAGTGAAACTGCATCATAATTTCCCTGTCTTACTTCCTTGTCACTATTGCTGCTGGTTAGCTAATCGCCACCATTAACGTCATGCAGGATGAAGAGCAGGAGAAACAGAATCAAAAGAGTGAAATATGGACAGGGCCGGCATGATGAAGGCAATTTTGACTGCGTGATGGAGGTACAAGAGAGGGTGGCAGGCAATTTCAACAGGCAATTTTGACATTGAAATAGAAGCTCTGGGCAAAACATACTCATATGAAATATGAATGCACTTGGTGTGTGTGTGTGGAAGTGTGTGTAGCCATGCTGGTTGCGCACAGGGGAAGCCTCAGCTCTATAATACATTAGTCTCTTTGGGGACATGCCCTAATTAATGGCTTGACCTCCTAACGGGTAGCCCCCTTCTGCGAGTTAACATTTAGCTGTGCACCCTCCAGAGATGCACTTTGAAGTGCATTTAATAAAAGAAGTGACAGTGACATTAATGAGACAGTCAGGATAAGTACAGGGCTTCGTTTTATTTCCCGACAATTTATACTCAGATTTTATACATGTCTCAACTCAGCAGAGAGAAAAAAAAAAATACAAAGCAACATAGAATTAATCTAAACCAAAAGAACATTTTTAAACCAATAAAGATACACACATACGCGTCAAATACACTGATCCTGTTTCTGGGCAAAGGCAACTGACTCCTGCTGACTGTTCTGATGTGTTAAAAGTGCTGTGTGTGTGTGTGTGTGTGTGTGTGTGTGTGTGCGTGTGTGTGTGTATATACACTGACAGTCCACCAGCTGCTATTAAGAGCTGCGAGAGTGGATGTCACACCTGTCATTTCCATCAGCCAGTGTGTGTTTCTGAATCCATCAAGGTGAGATTTGGTGACGACAAGAAAAGTTCCCACAAAGTTTCCTGGTTTTATTGTGGCGAGTGTATGTGACAAGAGTGCCCGAGAACACTGGAGACACTGTTTAATGTATCCCGTTTGTCCGTCAACATGTCCATGTGTCCATTTATCAGTGAGTGTCCATCAGTGCCGCCGTCTCTACATCTCAGTCTCTCGTCTTCAGTTGGACTTGGACCAGATCTTCCCACTGCCGCGCAGCCTGAGTGGGAAACAACCAGTAGGAAACACTGTTAGCACTTCGTTTGGGATTTATCAAAAATAATGTCTTGATTTACTTTATGTGTACTTGCCACTTGCATTACTAAACCAGCACATTACTGATGCAACCTGGGTGCAAAAGTGTCTTTGTATTAAAATATTTAACATCTGTATTTAGTGTTTTTGCAATGAAAGTGATCTCAGTGGATTTTCTATTTCTGCAAATTAAAAAGAATTTTTGCAAAGAACCTACTTCTAATAATAACTGCTGCACAATCAGTCCCATCCTTTAAATAGCTTTATAAAGAAATGGTGTCAAAACTCATTTTAATTCGAGGATTGAGGTTAAGCTATCATTAATTTGGATTTCAAAACATTAAGTGGATCTTCATTTGAATGAAGTGCAGTGCTGAGTGATGATGAAAATTATAGGGCTATATGCTTCATCAAAATGTGACAGGCAGCCAGAAAATAATCACTGCTTTCTGTTCGGCAGCAACAACATAAACAGCAGACGAGCAAAGCATCTCCTCAGATCACTGGAGGGGGAAACAGTTCTTTCAGGAGGAGAGCACGTGGGGGCATTTGTATATCCAGTGACATTTTACAATCCAGGACAGATGTGAAATTAGCCATCGGTAATTGGGCCGGATGGAAGCAGAACAGAAAGAGTCCCTGATAGCAGGGTTAGAACACCGCTGCAAAACACTGATGTGCATCTGATAATAAAGCTACTGCATGCAGACACATGCACACACTCACACACAGACAAACCACTTACACCAGCAGCTGGCTTTCTAATGTTTATTGAAAAAAAAATATGAAAACATAGCGGGTTCTTTGCTCTCTACAAAAACATTCGACTAATGGCTTTAATTTAGTGTTT